CCTACCATCCTCAGACAGATGGGCAGACTGAGGTTGTAAATCGTTGCCTGGAAACATACCTGAGATGCCTAACTGGGAGGAAGCCTAGACAGTGGACCCATTGGCTACATTGGGCTGAATTCTGGTACAACACCAACTACCACTCTTCTTTGAAATTGACCCCTTACAAAGCATTATTTGGGCAAGACCCTCCTGCAGTCATCAGGGGGGATGTGTCTTTAACTGCTGTGGAGGAAGTATCTAAATTGACGGCCCAAAGGAATGCCATGTTGGATGAATTAAAAGGAAACCTAGCTCAAGCTCAGAATCTAATGCAACAACAAGCAAATAAGCATAGGAGGGAGATGGAGTTGACTGAGGGAGACCTTGTCTATCTCAAAATACAGCCTTACAAACTTCAAAGTCTGGCCAAGAGGATTAATCAGAAGCTGAGCCCTAGATTTTATGGCCCCTTTCAGATACTGGAGAAAATTGGCCCTGTAGCTTATAAACTCAAACTTCCAGAGAACAGCAGGATACATCCTGTGTTCCATGTTTCCTTATTGAAGAAGGCCTTAGCACCTACTACTGTTTGCCAGGACTTGCCCAAATGCCTCAATGAAGAACTAGAGCTACAAGTGATACCAGAGGAGGTGGTGGAGAGCAGAAGAACTCAGAAAGGAAAAGAGGAGGTTCTCATACATTGGAAGGGTTTACCAAAATTTGAAGATACTTGGGAAGATGCACAAGTAATGAAGGATCTATTCCCTGAGTTTCACCTTGAGGACAAGGTGAATCTCCAGGGAGGGAGTATTGATAGGATGCCAGCTCAGCAACCTATTAAATATTTTAATAAGGTTTATCAAAGGAAGAGGGGAAGGGCAGTTTAGTAAATTTGCTCATAAGTTAGTTATTTACTTTTGTCCCTGCGTGGACACTTTTACTATAAATAGTATGTTAGTGGCTAATAAATGCAGGCTGTATTTTGTTGGATGTCAGAACTTTGGAGGTTGAGCCCCTCGAATTTGCCCCTGAGCACTGTATCCTCTCGTGATCTGTTCGGTTGGATAATAAAGTTCCCGATCATCTCTCATATTTCTTACTGTGTTTTCTATCTATTTTGACCTTTCCTATCACACAATGTCAATACAACATGAGTTCACTACAACACTATCCTTAGATTTCTTTCCAGTACAAATGCATCCCCTCTTGGAAACCCACAGCCTGAAGGAGTGGGAACAACTGGACAAGATATTCAATTACACCTCACATGCAATATTTTCCAATTGAGGGAACTTACTCTTTTGGTGTAAAAAGATATTGCAGGTATTTAGGTTCAAGTCATACTGTTGCAATTATTAAAGGATGGAGGAAGTATAAATTTCATAAGTCAAGTTCAATGCTTTGTATCAACTTCGGTGCATATCATGGTTTTTAGTAGTATTACGATTTCCTATTCTCATTATATTTAGGGTTTAGGTTTCCTAGCCCTATTAGGTTTAGGCCAATTCTCTATATTGGCACGAGTTTTTGCCACTTCTAGTCCCCCTGACTATTGTGCCAGTGACACTTTTGTTACTCAACTTTTAACTTTTCCTATTTTAATCCTTCGACAATTGTGCGAGAGACACTTTTGGTCCTCTACTTCAAAGTTACCCACATTTAGTCCCATGAGTATCAAATTGACACTTTAAATCCTTCCACAATGATTTTGCCACAATAAGTGGAAGAGTAAAAATGTCACTATAATAGTAGTTGAAGGACCAAAAGTGTCACTTCTACGAAAGTCGAAGGACTAAATATGGAAATTTTCAAAGACGGGTTCCAAAAGTGTCTTTCACACAATAGTCTGAAGGACTAAAAGTGGAAAATTCAGAGTCGAGTACCAAAAGTGTCAGTGGCATAAAAGTCAAAGGACTAAAAGTGGCAAAAACTAATATAGGCACTATAATAGTCTTTAGAAATTGTGAATTGTAAATGAAAATCATCAATAAAAGTAGTATCTTATTATTCAACATGTTAGAGATCTAAAAAGAAAAGTCCATCTAGTCAAAGTATGTGTTTGTATAGACATTATTTAATAAATGGAATGATGGTGCAAAAAATGACATTACGGCATTGGACCCATGGTGCGTCAAAAGAATGTTAAAGATGGAGATTTTGTGGATGACCACAGAACATTACTCCCTGCCCCAGTATTTTTATCCCAGCTTTCCTTTGTCCACTCTAGGGATGGACCCGGGCCGGTCCGGTTCCGGGCCGGGCCCAGGGCTTTTTTGCAAAATGTTGGGCCCGGAATCGGCCCGGGTTGATACCGGGTCCGGGCCTAACCGGGACGGGCCCGGGTCAAGTTCAATTTTTTTTTTGTTTCTAATTAACACCCGACCCCCCCCCCCCTTCACCCCCACTCCCCAAACCCCCCAAAACACCCAACCCTAACCTAGAAAAGCAAAAAAAATTGAAAAAAAAAAATTGAACCGGGCCCGGCCCGAACCGCCCGGGCCGGTTCACCAAAAGTTGGACCCGAGCCCGGCCCGCCCGACCCGCCCAAACGGGCTAAAAGCCCGGAACCGGCCAACCGGTCCCGGTCCGGTCCGGGCCCAAACAGTAAAGGCCCGGGCCGGTTCCGGGCCGGACCGGGCCGGTTCTGGGTCGGGCCAGCCCGGTTTAGTCCATCCTAGTCCACTCCCTAAATTTGTCTCATATCATATTTGGTAAGTGTGGTTCAAACTCATCCACACATCACAAAATTCAATATTTACCACATAATTCCACTTAATATGTGTCATTCTCTCACTACCAAAGATATTGGGATGCAGGTAGTATATTTTAATAGATGTACCCGTCTTCACTGATTTGGAATTACGGATTTGTTATATTAGTTCATGAAACATCTATCTGTAGAATAACTCGTGTGAATCCAACCTTTATTCACACGGTTTAGAAAGAATTATATTTGATTTGATACATATAAATGTGAACTTTTCAATGCAATTTGGAGATTCTAAAAAGTTAAAATTAGATGATATTACTGATAGTGACACATTGTATTAATACATAGGTTTAGTGAAAAAATACCCCACTTAATAATGCAGACAGATAACTGTATGTCCTAATGTCCGTATGATATACACATTTTAATATCAGGTCCAATCCACAAATGCAAGTTTGAAGCATATCCATGAAAAGAATAAGCAAGCTAGACACAGCCCCCTAAGGCCCTAATTGTACATAACATTTAGGAATGTATCACACTATCACCACAGGTCCACAGTTATTGATCATAATAACTAGAATATTTTGACCAAATATGAGAGAATGGGGAAAGAGAGAAAACAACACCAGCTAGAACAAACCTAAAAACCATCTTATTTGGAAGGTGAGTAGGCAATAACAATAATGCAAACTGAAAGTAGCCTTTTATATGATTAATAAGTAAACAATAAAGAAATAGACCAACTAAGTAGATGGACCATCATCTTGAAGTAACTAGGGATGGAGATGGGTTGAGAGCAATAGGGTACCCAAAATTGCCTGACTCTAATTTTGAGTGCATTGGTAAAATGACTTAAGTACTTAACCTAGGTAGCACAGAAAAGCAAAACGGGAAGCACGAAACATGACAATCGGTATTTTAATAAAACTATCACAGGAAACGTAGAGAGAATGTGTAACTATAAAAACATAGGGATGTATTTCGAAGTATATTTTCATATACCAGTTTTCCAACACATTGTTTTCATGTATGAGTATACATTTTTTAAATAGCTTTGTTAATACCCAAAAATAAAAATAGTTAATATTTTCTAATTCTAATAAAGAAATTATAGACATACTAATATACTAGTACATAATAATGAAATGTGAAATGCGATACATTTTCAGCTGTGCATTGCATAATGATATATCAGAAAGGATGTGATCATCATCATCATCATCATTACCCCAATGCCATAAAGGCTCCCACCTACGGTGGGGTAGGGGGGTCGGATGTACGCAGTCTTACCCCTATACTAAAGCATAGAGAGACTGTTTCCGGATGACCCATAGTGAAAATCGCGTCAAAAATTGCATGGACTCACTGTTGGTTCATAACAAAGAAGCGCATACAGTTTAGTGAGCCATTTTGCTTTATTCCATCATATTCCCAAGCCAAAAATAGTTAGTCTTTGGCTCCATCGAAAAGGATGTGATGCTATAAAAAAAAATCTCATATGAAATCCACGACAAAATTTCAAACCACAAACACAAATTTTAACATAAAAACCCACCAGGAAGAAAAAAATTGAAAACTCAAAATTTCTGAAACACAAGATATTTAGGAAAATGCATTTTCCAATACTTTTAATTACCACAACAGCACAGGCACAGGAATTCAAAGTTTCTAGGTTTTCGACATGCTACTAAGTTTCCGGAACGGCTACACATGAACTGCAGGAAGTTTCTGTGCTTCTTAGATGTTAACTGGTGATATGGTTGTGAGTGGTTTAGGGGCATTCCGGTAACTGGTTCCCAAATCGGGTAACAGTTAATGAATGAATAATAACCTCAAAAAAAGATAAACTACAGTACAGTGAACCTTAAAAATAAATATAGCAAGCTAACAAACTTCATTTAGCCTATTTTGTGCAAAGTTTAGGTTTAAAATAAAGTATGTGGCAAATGGGATAAGATCAGAACAACAAAACGGAGCCGAGGAGTGGGTTCGTGTACTTCTAGGTTTTTCGGAAATAGGACGGTGAGGGTTTGAGATAAAGAATCTAAATTAACAACTTTGGGATGAGAAATGACAAACGGGTAGGGTATCCTGCTCATTGCCATCCCTATAAGTAGCTAATCCTCCTATCCAAAAGAACAATACTGCAGAAAAGAGTGTGTGTGTGTGTGTATAAAAGGAAAAACCATACACCACAAAAACATCCAAGCTTTATTCCCAAAAGAGTTCGGGATCAGCTAACATGAATCGACATATGATATTGGGGTTAAAATTAGGAGATTTCCAGTGGATATCACATATTTACCCATCAGGTGGGATGTCTGTAATGGTCAGCTTCACTGGAAGTAAAGGGTTTGCCACTGATTCCCAGAAGCTACAAAAAGAATATTAGGTATAGAATTTAAAATCATTTAACTCAAGAAGTCATAAAAGAGAGTAATCCTTGAAGAGCACTCAGATACCAAGTATTGGAACAGATTGTTATTTGTGGAACTGACTCTTCACACAAGCAGATTTTACAACACTTGGAACCTCTAGGTCAAAACTTCCGCCTCTTATAAAAGGCTTGTTCGAAATTCTTTTCGCTTAGTTCATAATAAATTATCTGAGGCTAAAGAAAAGAGAACATGGTGTCACTTACGGGTCAAGACGACTCAATCTACACAGTTCACAATAGAAAGTTTTGTGCGGTGTTGTTGGAATACCACCCTCAACATCTTTCTCTGGGATGACAACGCACCTAATATGTTGCCACACATGGCATTTGGGATCTTCACACTACAGGTGACGTAGAGCAGCTAGATGAAAGAGTATACCTTAAACACATGGCCTATATAAGGGAATGTACATGTATGTGGTACCTTAATCATCGATTCCATCTGCATGGTGTTTCCACATGGACATTGAATCTGATACGTCTTGTTAGAGACTTCTATTTCATCGTTTAACTTCACAGTGCTACCATGTGAGAATCCTAGTGGTTTTGATGCTGAGTGAGGTGTTCCATAAACATGCATTTTTCGGGGAGTAGATGGAGAAGATCATTTTTCAAATGCATGGATATACAAATAATAGCAAAACCATAAATGATTCACTGGTTCAGAGCATCTGTCACCTATATGTCATGCTGAGTTCAAAGAAGGGTAGAAATAGAAATACATCATCCAATTAGATCCTAACTCTAATTCCAGGATAATAATTCTTCAATTTATATACATGCATATGTATGTGGGTATCTTGGAATCAACATTCTTGAAACTTCAAAATAAACATTATAGAATAACAAATACTACAAGTTTAATCATTGGAATAACATTGCAAAGGTTTAGCACATAAGCATTTAAAAAAAGAACCACGTGCAAACTGCAAGAAAATAGCACACCTGGTCCAAAACTGCAAAATAAGTGGTCTTAACCTTTATGAGATTATTTACAATTTGCGAAAAAGCTAGCTGATACAAATAAGTTTCGTAAACAGTTGTTTTATACAGTGAAGAGCAAAAATCAAATACAAGTGGCAACATATTTATTAAAAACGGTAAAGAATATTAAATTGGTCTTTTCTGTACAAAAGTATAAATATGAAAGTGTAAGAGACCAATGTTGATCCATAGTGCAAACCAGCTTTCAGTAATTTCCTTCAGTAAGAGACAATGTTGTAGAGGAGTGGATTTGAAGGTAAATGTTTCACCCTTCATTTAGAGTGCTGGTGAAGGAATATTATAGTTGGAGATGGAAATGGGTCAGGGCCAAGGTTGTCACAGTAGCAACGCGAGGCGCAGCGCAGAGATGACAGCCTGGGCGGCGATTAGGGGAGAAGTAGCCATGTGCAATACTGCAAAGTTTTAGTGTAAAAAGATATCTTATATTAAAATTTTAAAATGTAAAAATATAATATTTTTATGGTATAAATTTTTAATACATTAATAAATAAGATGTATTTGAAGTAGAGTAGGTAAACGATGTAAAAGTCAAAGTGTTGCAACTTTTAAAGAACCGCAGAGGTAATATAAATATAATATAAAAGATAGTACATGAATTACTAATTCAACATTTTAGATCAAAACATGAGCCTGATGTCTATTTCCAATAAATAAAACTACAAAACCTTGGGGAAAAAACAGTGATGTGATTCGAGTGATTTATAACAAAGAAACGGGAAAATCATACAAAAAGTAAACTACAAAGATAAATATAGAAAGAAAATGGGAGAAAATAAAGAAAGTGTAAACTTGGTGGGTTGGTCGTTGGGGCAAAATAGATTTGACGATAGTGGCGCATCCCCTATATTGCAAATATAGGAGATGTTGGGTTGTTAGATCAAAACACGTGTCGCTTGATTGCACGACGCCATATCCAAGGACAGTGAGTTGGCAATTGTTGTCTACCGATAAGGCAATGGCAAGAGCAAGACTTTGGTGGGTCAGGCTTCTGAACCTGACATGAGTCTAGTCTCAACTCTCAACAGTATGGGCCGCTGATGAGTATTTGGCTGATATTGCTTGGGATTATCCCAACAGCAACAGAAGTAAGAAATTATCCTCTAATCACAAGAAGGGATTGTCACATGTGCATAACTGTATGTGTGTGTACATACAGCCATTCACAATATATAGCAACTTGCATGTATATGTATGTACACATACATGTCTTTATGTGTGTGAGTATACGTGTGCATAGAGTTAGATACAAATGTGTGCGCCAGTGTGTGTACTTGCATGTGTATGTGCGTTAAGTACATATGTGTATCTGTGTTTTTATTTTTTATCCCCATAGAGGTTTACAGCATTTCACAACCTTCAGCTTGCATATCCCCTTTGTCTTCGGCTCTTCGCCTCACTCAGCCCAAAATTGTAAAAAAGAGTACTTATTATGCCCTTGAATAGTCATATTAATATATATAAAAATTACTATCATTTATATGAAATTTATAAATCCATATTAAAACGTTAATGATGGTTTTATTTTTTAAAAGGATATAACAATAGAGAACAGGTATGATCTAACAAAACTGATTTTCCTTTAAACAATATGTATAAAGTTTAATAAAGAAAAATTGCAATCCATATAGCCAATCTGATAGAACCCAGTATCGCAATTTAGAATTGCAAGCCAATATCAAACATGTAAAGAACATAACACAACAGAAAATTTTCAACTTTACGAGCTTTATCTTTATTCTCCTTTTTATCTCAGCTATGACGTTCTTAAGTTTAAAAGTAGACATTAATGTGCAAATATACCTGTAAATGTCATCCACAATATTTACCACCTTTTCCTTGGCAATAACAGTTTTCTTCGCACACATTCCTAAAAGTTATCCAGGACAATTATGTTACCAAAGAGAAGATACGTCACTTGGTTCACCACTGTCATATAAGTTTACATGTGGAAACGCACAAAAAGAAAGTATTTTCATTGACAACTATTTGTTTGGAAAAGAATCATTATATACAAGCAAGATGATAATGATAAGAAAACGTCCATTCCAATAAATTACAAGTCACAACAACGAGTTTTTTGCTCCATGATGATAAAGCTTCTGACTATGAAGCATATACAAATGACTGGTGATCAATATGAAGAAACCTCTAAAAAATCAGCCTCCCCTGATGATTATTTTTTAAGGGAAAAGTTATTCCAACTCACCCATGTCTTTTTCTTTTCTTTTTGTGCTTCTTATAAAGAGGTTGGAGAAGTAGAAGGGCACACAGAAGCAAACTTGCAACTCCTGCATTTCCAGCGCTCCTCCATTGGAGTAAAACTAGCTTTACGATCCCCTCTCCAAAATTCTAAACAAGACTTTATTTGACCATTGACCCAATCTGAATCATGTTCAAACTCATCCTCACCTAGCAATGATCCATCCTCTTGCAATTCATACCTTGAAATATAATCGATCATCAAATGGTAAAACCATAAAACATATGTTTTTCAAACTGCTGCTTGAATGGTGTTAGCTATAGACTAAAAAGACACCACTGCTAACCTCAACAAAAGACGGTTATGTGCTTGTGGAAGCATAGAACAAGTATTCTGAAAATACCCCATCACTTCACTGAGGGTCTGTAAGGAGGGAGAAAAATATAAGGAAGCCACATTTTTAGATGGTAACCTAAGGTAACAGTCAGATCAGCATAATAATGTAACATAAATTTATGTTTTATGTGTAAATTACATTACCCATGTAGTTAATTACATTCAATCCCATTATGGCTTACAAATGCTGCCTTATTTTTTACAAGTGATTTTGTTTATTTACCTCTGCTGGAAAACCTGATCCGATTGTACTCGCTCGGATTTCATCAGATAAAATACAATTAGGATTTAATGAAAAGAAATCAAAGAACTGGCCGATAGGAAATTTATTAGCAACCAAGTTGTCCCATATCTGCTTGTAGCACATAAGTTGAAGCCTGTACACCACATGCAAAGTTTCAGTTCATCAGTTAGTTTCCGTGAGAGAGATCATATTCTAACATAACCAACTCTATTTCTAATATCCAAAACAAGAAGGCTTAATATCTTCCTGATAACTTTTAGGTGAAACTTAAAACGAATATTATAGATATGTTTTATATTACAACAACATCCAAGCGTTATTCCCAAAAGATTTTGGGGTCGGCTAACATGAATCGATCCCATGAAAGTATGATGAAACGTATAAAAATAGATTTCCTTAAGGCATCAGTATTTGGCTGAATCAATGTTATGATGAAGAAAAGTTCTGAAATATCCCTTTCAGCCAAATATCATTTAGTGCCCATTTGTTAACCTTTTTTCCCTTGTCTACCCTATCTCTACCAAATACTATTTTTTTTACCAAATACTAATTTTTTTATTACGTGTTGAAGTGTTACATAGTGAATTTTGCTTATGGGGACAATTTCAACTTTTATCCATACATTGTTTTTATTAAAATACTCCATATATTTTAAAGTATAATAATGTCATATTTCAGCAAATTCATCCGCTTCAGACATTACTTCAGCCATTTCGAGCAACTTCATCAAATTCAACCAATTTTAGTGTTACCAAACTGGTTCTAAAAACTATATTATGATGATAAGTAGGATAAACATAATACGCCGGTCATCGCTACCAAATAGAGCCTAGACCTAGCTTTAGGTTTAGGGCCATTATTTCCTTATAAAAACACTGCAATAAGTCTTTAGAAACTATGAGGTTAGATTAAAAAGTTAGATTGTAAAAGTCTCAACAAAAAGTTAGTTTTGTTTCTCATATTTAACAAGACGCTTCTAAATATTCATGAGATTGTATACCTTCCATTCCTCCGTTGTGCTTCAGAAGGAAGAGTAGGACGAAAGCGTGTTTTAGTGTCAACTATGATGGGGAATCTCTCATTTTCTTCTGTGGCCATTCGTATTTCATCTATCACTCCAACCATCCATACACCTTCTGCAAAGCCTACTCTGGTTTTCCAATTAATGTTTCCTCCGTCAGATATTATTAACAACTGTTCTACTCTATAAGGAGACAGCATCATATATTTTCACAGTCCATAGATAGACTTACAAGGGTAACTCTCGTGTCAAGCCATCGAATAACAACTGATTGACGCCAACCATAAAATTCATGAACTTAATTGCCCATACATCTTCCATACATTGAGTTTGAACTTTAACTCTTTTTACCACCTGCCAAACACATTTAATGTTGTGTTTATACAAATATATTTGATTGAGTCTGCCCAATCAAGATATAAGTATACAGTATACTTATTAAGTCTGCCCAAGTACATGGTACACAAGAATCTTTAATTTTTGTAACACCGGCAAATATTACTGGAGATATTCATGATCAATAATAATGCTTATAACTAAAGAAATTTGGTAAGAAAAATGACCTACAAAAGTTCTTAATCACAATGGCATGCTAAATAAAAAATATGATGCATTTTTCTTGACAGAAGACTTGCTGCTATCTGCACAGCTAACTGCCATGTGGAATCGATATTACCAACAATATTCACTTATTGATTTATATAAACAGACATTTCATGTCATTTAAAAAATCGATAAATGCCAGGGGAACAAAATAGGCATGAAAAATCGATGGGGGTGGGGGGGTGGGCGGGCGTATTAAAACATCATTCCAAACCTCAAACTCAATGAACTCGCTTTTTCCTCATACTTTGTGAGTTTGTATTATTTATTTTATCTCTAATACTTAAAGACTAAGAAATCTAGATATATAGAAACAAATAAACCATAAAAAAAATAATTCATTTTTCTTTGCATTTATGAGGAAACCAAGCATTAGGAAATAACTTTCTTTTCCCCTCTTTCTCTAGCACTTTATGGGATCCAAGCGCACCCTTCAAGTTTATTTTAAGGCTTCAAATCTAAGAGTAAACAAGGCTCATAGAGTTAATAAACATTATGTCAGGGTCACAAAGACACAAACCCAGACATAAACTCTGAATCTAAAAAAGTTACCTCTTCTTCAAGAGCTGCATGTCGCATGCTACCAGCTTTCATGGCTTTGCTGGCTTCCGGTCTACCAAGCAGAAGGAAATATTCCATTTGTTTTTCACACCATTCCTATGAACAGCAATATAACAGAATGGGAGTAATCCCCAATCCCCACAGAAGAAGCACATCATGTCATATAATAATCATATGAATTAAATAAGACAATGAAATAGGCTGACATTATTTTGTGAACAATTGAACAATACCCTTAATTTTTAGATATTCACCACATGTAATTATGTAAACATAAACAAATTACCAGTGTTTGTATTAGAGCTTTCTGATTCAGCTGAAATATGAAATGATGAAATCCAACAGAAAATCTTGACATTTCCAAATTTTATAACAAGTGTTGTGCCAGTAATTATGTTCCAAGAATTGTGACCATTCCTTGTATCATATATTCATACGAAGTATGTAACAAAGAAAGATCCTAAATTTATACAATTCCAACAAAAGCAAAAAAACTACTACTATTAATTTTCAAAACCAGGATCCCCTAAAAATCAAATTTTAACTGAAAGGAGGCAAACCCATATTATGAAATCCGAACCCAAAAAGAATAAAGAAATTCAAAGTTCCACACCGTGGCAGTTATATCAGTGACAGCCAAGCCTCTCTTTCTCCGAAACCGATGTAAAAGTGATTCTTTGAGCCGGTTCTTCTTGCGGGGGCTTATGACCCGATTCTGGCCATCCTCAATGTCACCTACCGTTGACATGACAGCATCCTTACACCCCGAAAGCTTCCGCTTTGACAACATAGTTATTGAGGGGATGGATCTGAAGCTTCTCTGCAACTGGGTCGAACAGGAGACGGAAGGGCATGCGGCGACTAAAGCAGCTTGGATGAGAGCCATTTCTTCGTCACTTATGATCTCTACCGGTATCTGGGGCAGGGGAGAAGGACATGGTGTGGTATCCGGTTCGGTGGGACTTCGAGGGGGTGACTCGGCCATTCCGGACTCGTTGAAGACGATGAAACCGCTTTTGCGGCGAGTTACCGTTGCCAAAGCCGACGGTATCAGTTTGTTTTGTAAGGTTGTTTTTACTTGGAGCGGCGAGTTACTCGGATCAAAACAGACCAGACCAGACGAGACTAGATCAGACCAGATTAAAACAGACCAGATTAAAACAGACCAGACCATATTTTATTATTACTATTATTATTATTATTATTATTATTATTATTAGGGGTGTGCACCGGTTCAAAACCGGACCGGACCGAACCGGACCGGATATCATTCCGGTTTGATCCGGTTCCGGTTTTTCCGGTTCGGTCTGGTTTTCCGGTTTAAACCGGATAGTGCACACCCCTAATTATTATTATTATTATTATTATTATTATTATTATTATTATTATTATTATTATTATTACTAATTTATTATTATTATTAGGGGTGTGCGCCGGTTCAAAACCGGACCGACTGTACCGAACAGACGGTCCGGTTTTATTATTATCCATAAATAAATATAATTATTTATGGATTATAAAATAAAATCTTATAAAATAAAATTTATATATAAAATAAAATCTTTATGCAAAAAATATAAAAATAAAATTTCAGACCAGACCAGACCAGACCAAACCAGACCAGCAAATTACAGTCCAAGTAAAAACATCCTAATTGAAACACTCAAAAAGGAAAATTTCATTTCAAAATAGGATTATTAGCTATTACTCCCTCCTTGGTGAAAAGTTTTGCGAAATTGACTTTTCTTGGTCAATTGTAATCATGGAGATTTCCCAAAATAGAACTAAATGAAGTATGAAATTCCAAAATAGAACTACTTTATTTTTATTCCCGAAATGGGACTAACATGGCAGTATTTACTGTCTTCTTGTAGCCGTGACTGCCAAATAGTTGCAGTACAGTGCATTTAACATGACAATATTTATTATAATTAATGACAGTATTTTTCAATCATGGTAGTATTTTTCATACATGACAGTAATAACTTCTATTTCGAGAAGAAAAACATGCTAGTCCTATTTTTGGAATTCCAAGTGTCATTTGCTCCTATTTTGGGTAATTTCCCTTGTAATTAACTTTGACCAATGATATTTTTTAATAGGAAATTATTTTGAATATGAAAATTGTATCAAAATGTTCTTTGTACAAACTATTTTCATAAAAGTGTAAAACTTATATATTTTAGACAAATACTACGTATAATAATTAAAATCATTGTCCAAAATTTGTCATAATTGACCAAGAAAAGACAATATGACAAATCTTTTCCGGACGGAGGTAGTATTACATGTCTTTTAGGAAGGGTATGTTTGGAAGTTTGATTAGCTATTATTACATGTCCTTTAGGAAGGGTATGTTTGGGAGTTTGAAGGGAAAGAAGAAATTTTGCATGTTAGTGAAGGGAAGGGATGGAAAGGGTTGGAAACCCTTCTTCTTATTTCGGAGTAATACGTTTGAGAAGATAAATGTTTTAGATGAATTATAATTAAAATCATTTCGCATATATGACGAATTCAAATAACTAGTTATCCTTCAAAATCCCCCAATATAGGGTAACTTCAATTTTGAGCATTTGAAAAGTTTTGGAGGGTTACAAAAGCCCTCCAAAACCATCTCCTTCGTGTTTTTTAACTCCCAAACATGAAAGGGAGAATCATAAACCCTTGTCAACCATTCTCTCCCCTCCAAAATCCAACTCCCAAACATGCCCTTCCCTTAGTTTTTTAACGGAAAAGAAAACTTATAACTCAATTAATCAAGAGTTTAAATTTCACCATCTATCTTTTCATAAGTCTTCATTATTCAAGAAAAGTCATACGATCATATTCTGAAACGTCAATGTCCAACAAGTAGTGTGAATCGTTAACCACAAAATGGACAATATAGAGTTTTGAAAGTCACAGTACTCACACCTATTATAGCATCTGCTCTTTGTTAGTGTTAGATGCCAACATTCTTGAATTATGGTGGATTTTGACCTGGTGACTTCCTCCTTAAAAGTGCCATAGTGATGTCATCGAACCACAAAGTGTTTGACATATGTTTTTTAATTATAATTTATAAAATAGAAGTAAACTAATATTACCCTTAAACATTAATATAACAGTATTAATATAGTAAGTGACATTATGTTTCAAGCATCACAATAATTAATTTTGAGGAAAACTACAGTAAACGTACTTATAGGGGCATGATATTCATTTTTTGACAACCACAGGCTCGTGATTTACTTTGTTATCTCACCCGGGGCACCCACCCCTATGACGTTAGTTTTCGGTTACGTGGCATCATCTATTTGGCCACATATGCTCCAACACATCATTAGTTGGAATTCAATTAAACACACATCATTTCCCTTCTTTAATCTAAAATTTAGGTTTAGCAACGAAGAGAAGAACAGGGTCGCCGCTGGTAAAGTGAAGTGGACGTCGGAATAGAAGGACGAATTTGCTGGGGAAGTGAGATTAGAAGCCGTCGAGTCTTAAATATCTCATCCTTCTGGGAAACGTAAGTACACCATTTCTGGTTTGATTTCTTACGGATTGTCTTAATTTGGATTGGGTTGTGTGTTAATGTCATACCCATGTGTGGAATGTGTAGTTTATGGGTTAACGAAATGTATGTAGAAGTCCGAATGACAGAGTATGTTAACTTGTTGATTCACAATGGTGGTAAATGGGACTGTGCGAAAAAGAAAAAGAAATACAGGAATAACAAGTTATTTGTGGCAATTGTAAGCAAGTGGGGCATAATGTTCGAGGATGTAAGACATCCCTTACACGAGAAACCCCATGGCAGAGAAGAATGAGGGTGAGAAAAGAAAAGTCTTCCGTAGCAAGGCCACCTGGTGATGCTGAAGATGCTGGAAATGAAGAGTCCACTGCCAACACTGGGGTAGATGCTGAAGGTACTGCAAATGAAGAGTTTGTCCCCAATACTTCTACTCCAAATGCAAGAAGTTCAAGAAAGAGAAGAATAATCTCCAGTTCACAACAATCACAACCATCATCTAGAAGAATCACAAGGTCCTCCAGTTCACAACCACGCCAAGCGTGATATGACTTACTGGTTTGAACTTTAAATGATTGTTTTTATACCTATTATAATGGATGACTATGTTGCAGGACAGACACTGCTGAAGATGGGTGGTTCAATGAGGTGGTGTGGTCTAATTGCTGAGAAGATGTCTGGTTGTAATCTCCTTGTAATGTAATTGGGAAATGTCTGAACACTATGTAATGTAGCAGACAATGGTTGGTCAAATGTAATATGTCACTTGTTTCGGATAGTTTTTTGTAGTCGTTTTGCTTGAATTGTGTAGTGTAGTATGTTTTGGAAGAGTTTTTGTACTCATTGGGTAATCACTGTAATGTACTACTTTGGATTGGTTTAACTTAAACATCAGTTGTGTATTTGTTGTTTTTGTCATTGTGGTTGGAATGAAATGATTAAGCCTCTGTTACTATGTGTTAATTTCATTTTTGCTTAATTTGGTTACAACTAAATGGTAGGTTTGAATGCAATGTTTGACAAATTAAGTTGACATGTAATGTAAAGCAATGTTTGACAAATTGATAAACCTCATAAACTTCATAACCAAATTGATAAACTTGGTATGTTTGACAATTAAGTTGACAACCACACTTCACGAACTTCATAAGCTTCATAACCAAATTGATAAACTTCATTACAATCATAAAACCAAATTCAACACACACACTCACTTCATTACAAGCATACAAAACAACTACGGACCCAAACAAGTACCCACCTGCTAAACATAATGAAATTTCATTGAGACATTTTATCAAACACATGTCAACCTTGACACCTAATACATCCTACTTCCCATCAAGATGATAATGAAGACGGCAAACCAAAGAAGATTCGAGGAGAAAGTCATGTTGCCTTTCTTCGACATCTTCAGTTCCTCTTCCATATTCTGGAGTTTCAAAAGACCAATCCCCTAAACACAACTCTTGATTTCAGCTTGCATCTCTAATTCTTTCATCCGGAAATTCTCTTCAACACTGGAAATCTTTTGGAGCAAAGTATCTATCCTTCTCAGGCAAGTATCTATCCTTTTTCGTGACCTCACCTCCCAAACATTCCTTTTTCTTTTTCGCACAGTCCCATTTACTACCATGGTGAATCAACAAGTTAACATACTCTGTCATTCGGACCTCTACATACATTTCGTTAAGCCATAAATTACACATTCCACACATAGGTATGACATTAACACACAATCCAGTCCAAAATTAAAACAATCCATAAGAAATCAAACCAGAAATGGTGTACTTACGTTTCACATAAGGGCCGTATATTTACGACTCGCCGGCTTCTAATCTCACTTCCCCAGCAAAATCGTCCTTCTATTCCGAAGTCCACTTCACTTTACCAGCGACAACAATGTTCTTCTCTTTGTTGATAAACCTAATTTTTAGATTGAAGAAGGGAAATGATGTGTGTTTAATTGAATTCCAAATTTCCAACTAATGATGTGTTGGAGCATACATGGCCAAATAAATGATGTCACGTAAGCGAAAACTAAAGTCGAAAGGGTGGGTGCCCGGGTGAGATAACAGAGTAAAATCACGAGCTTGTGGTTGTCAAGAAATGAATCTCATGCCCCCAATTGAAAACACCCCAAACCACAATTACGTTTACTATAGTTTTCCCTTAATTTTATTTTGAATGAAATGTGATACTCCTATTGTTAGATTCTATATTATATTTAGGGAAATTTACTATTATCCCCCCTGAGGCTAGGTCATAATTATTAATGCAACCTTACATTTTCAAAAATCAATTAGTTACCCCCTGAGTTTGGATCGTTCTCGTTCTTTGCCCCCTCACGTTAATATTTGTTAAATTTAAATTTAATATAATTCTTAAATTCAATGAAAAATGTCTATAGAATAATTTTTAATGTAAAACACAAATTATTATTATAATTATAAGTCATTGTTGTTGATCGTTATTTTTCTACTTAGCTACGTACTCCATCATGGAATAAATATTATTGAGAGGAATTAAGAGAAAATACTCACAAGT